TCACCGTATTTGATTGGATCTTTTTCTGCTTGAGGCCTCTCGGGTTGCTCTTGGCTCATGGTGATTCGAGTTTACAACTTTATATTTTAGTTGAAGAGAATGTATTGTACGTTTTTTTTTTGTATTGGATGGTTTTAAAAACGTAGTGGAGAGAATTGGAGGAGCGCAAAATGCAAGAAATTGCCGCCCAAGAACGCCGCCCAAGGACACAAGCAAAACTGCACCAAAACCCAACGAAAACGCATTTTAATCGGTTCAAATAAAAGATAATGCATCAAAAAGTGATGTAATCGAAGTAAAATTAATTTAAAACGGTGCAAAAGTAAGAAAACGAACCTGAAAAGCGTAACCCGTAGAGAGAAACGCGAGGAAGATTATGAACTTTAAGTATGCGTAACTGCTGCCTCGCGTTCGTGGTGTTTTAATGCAGCCATATAGAAGTCGGTTCTCCCCCACATCAAACGTCTATATGGCTTTAGAAGTCGGATTGGCGAGATCTGATGTCTAAACGGAGTTAAAAAGTGACTTTTTATATTTCAAAAATGAGTATATAGAAGTCGGTTCCGCCCACATCGGACGTCTATATGGTTGTAGAAGTCGGACTGGCGGGATCTGACGTCTAAATGAAGTTAAAAAGTGACTTTTTAGATTTAAAAAATGAGTATATAAAAGTCGGTTCCCCCCACATCGGACGTCTATATGGCTGTAGAAGTCGGATTGGCGGGATCTAACGTCTAAATGGAGTTAAAAAGTGACTTTTTAGATTTCAAAAATGAGTATATGGAAGTCGGTTCCCCCACGTCAGACGTCTATATGGCTGTAGAAGTCGGATTGGCGGGATCTAACGTCTAAATGGAGTTAAAAAGTGACTTTTTAGATTTCAAAAATGAGTATATAGAAGTTTGTTCCCCCACATCAAACGTCTATATGGCTTTAGGCGTCTGTTCCCGTCAAAACAAACGTCTATATGGTTGTTTAATTTACGGAAAATGCCACCGGTTATTTTTTACGTTGGATATTCGAGGATTGGACGTCTAAAGGGTGACGTTAAAGGCCTTTTCTGTACTAATGAAAATAAAATAAATAACATAATAATTATGTTCTAACAAAGATGTACACATAAGAACACTAATTATCAACAAAAATACCAAAGTCTCAAGACTACCTTATTTCTAAGACCCCTATTTTCCTGGATCTTACACTTTTGAATTACATTTGAGTTGTATGTTACTTTTTTTTAATCGCCTTTGGAGTTTAACATCAATTTAGAGTGAAATTTATTTAGAGTTGAATTACAAAAAAAAAATTATTTTTTTTGTTGGATTTAAAAAAATATTGTAATTAAGTGAGTCAGCCAACCCGTTTAACCTATTTGGGACGAGTCGGGTTCATTATTTTCGACTTGCTAATAAGTGAGTCAAGTTGGGTGGGTTCACTAAGTGGTCAACCTATGATAAATTGAACTTGATCGGGTCGAGTGACCCATTTTGACAACACTAAAAAAAAATAATAAAATTTTATTTAACCATCTATATCTTCTTTTCAAACATATTAAAATAAAGATATATGATTTAGAGAATAATGTGTACATATACTAAAATTTCCTTTAAAACTTGACCTTTAAACAAAGTTAGTTATTGATGATATCAAGGTCATCTAATTTTTTATTCATTTGTCACATATAAGAATTTATTAAGTCATCTTATAAGAATAAGAAGTTATTTTACACATATGAAATATTTACTAGTAAGAATTCCTTTTACTACAAGACAATTTAATATTAATTTACTAAGTCACAATTTATAAGCTTTGAAAGAATAAATGAATATATAAGTGTATATAAGACATTTTTTTCATTGTCTTTTTGTTGTTTATTGGTTAATTATATTATTTCATATTGTTAACAAACTTCATCTATTTATAAGTACAAAAAAGATTAATAGTGACTCATTGTTTCTAGGTTGTCTTTTTAGCCAAAAATTTTCATCTAAATGGCTTTTTTTTATGTTTTAAATTTATATTTCTTTATTAAGGGTTAAGGAAAATACCAAACTTTAATTGAATTGTTATGTTTTTGTACTAACCGTACTAAAATGAACATATATTGTTAAAAGGATAGGTTGTTTGTCTTAGGTAGATGATTTTTGTATGCTCATCAAATACTACTTTTTAGTTGTTTGCTCAAATAAGAATTGTTTAGTTCTTCAAATGTCTATCACTTGATCATAGGTAATCTAATATTTAATTTGCAGTAAAGGAAAACAAAAGCGGTTATTTTTATCTATACGCAATGGTTCCTAAACCGAGACATATACAGGCAAGGTAAAAAGTCTACCACTTTTTACCTCGGTTTAGAACTGAGGAAAAAGAGATAGAATTTTGCCTCGGTTCATAGCTAACTGAAGCAGTAGGTTTTTCCTTTTTTTATTTTTTTTTAAAAAAAAATTTAAACATAGATACAAAAAAAAAAAAAAAAAAAAATAAAAAATAAAAACAAAGATAGGAACAAAAACAAAAAAAAAAAAAAATTTTTAAATTTTTTTTTGCCAGGCTTTCTACCTCGGTTGTGACCACAACCAATGCATATTTCCCTATTTTTTTAAGAACAGGTCTGTTTTTGCAACATTCTCAACTGCATAAACAGACTTACATATATTAAAGTTTACATAATTGTCTAGAACAACCCATAACAATTCAGAAGCATATTTTTTCAATAAAAATTAAACTAAAACATAAATCAATTCAAAGTAATTATAAATGAACTTCTTAGAAGCATAAATCAATTTAATGTAATCATAAATCAACTTAGAAGCATAAATCAATCTAATGTACAAAGTTAACCTAATCATAAATATGCTAAGGTAGAACTTACTATATACTAACATCTACATACTATTATAGAGTTCAATTACATATTTTGCAAGTGTTTTTCTTATGGATTTAAGGGACTTGTTTGGAATTGAAGTAGTATAATTGAATCTCTGCATAAGACACAATTAGTGTATATGAATTCTAAATTATAGAGAAAAAATTTCAGTAAAACTAAATATTACCATTTCCCATCCACTTGTAACATGGGCACGAATAGTGGTCATCATCCAATACATCATGTAGTAACCACACTCATATGACCCACTTTGTCTATTACACTACAATATATCATCATAATTATAAAATGTTAAGGAACATCACTAGAATGGTACAAAATGTAACAAATTATGGACTAAAAGACCAAACCTTAAGGAAAAACGGTATCGCGGCAGAGGGTGCACAAAGACAATGGTGTGGAGGCAGCACGCCGACGAAAATGCGGAGGGAGCGCAGCGGCAATGGCATGGAGGTAGCACACTGGCGACAGTGCAGAGGGAGCGCAGCGGCGAGACAACGACACACTTGCGTGAGAAGAAGGCACGCGACGAAGGAACAGCGAGGTACTGTGAGGTTGAATCTTGCGTGAGAATAACAGCGGAGTGGTGGCGACGGAGCGACAGCGAAGCAGCGACAACAGTTTGGAGGGCGGTTGGAGAACAATGAGAGCAAGGGTAACTTGGAGGGAGTTTAAGCGAGAAGAAGAACAACAGTGCACAAGGGTAACTTCTGTGAATATATTAAGCTATACTGCCTCGATTATCAACTTAACTAATGCCTAAAGTACTAGAAAATAATTAAAAATGAAAAATATAATGGCAATTTTGAAATTATTTTGACCTTATATGTCTCGGTTGGCAGTAAAACCGATGTCAAAAGCTCAAATAGACTCGGTTCCCAGAAAACCGATGCAGTAGGGTAAATTAGAGCTTCCAAGCAATTGAAATGTCAACGCCCTTTCTGTCTCAGTTCTCTGAACAACCGAGACAATATCCTTGCCATTCCACTGAAGTTTCTGACTTGCAGAGGGACAAAGGGTATGTGTTAGAGTTTACGCCTCGGTTCTGCAAATATCCAAGGCAATATGTGATTTTCAGAAAGTATGTCAGACTATATCAATGATAGAAGGGTGAATTGGCATTGTTTTATGCTTCAGTTTTTCACTAAACCGAAGTAGTAGAGCTCTCACGCTTCGGTTCCTTATAAACCGAGGTATATAACAATGCGATAACTACGAAAATGTCACCGCATTTTGATACGCTTCAATTTTGTAAAAATCGAAACGTATATAACGCATTAAAAGCCTCTTTTCTACTAGTGCTAGTCTCTCAAACATACATGTATAAATGCTGTGTTTTTTTAATGCATGTAACAAAATAATTACCTATTAAAAGTTAGTAGTTTGAAATATATTTAATATTATGATTTTTTATATTTTCTATCTAATTATTTTTCATTTTCTATTATTTTGAAATAAAATAACCAAAAAATTCTATATTAAAATTTTCATTAATGATATTTAGTTCCATTAAATTAATCATATTAAAAAACTTTCTTAACTTTTGAATGACTGTTTTTTAAACTAAATAAATTATCTGAATAGTTTCATCTTTAAGTGACAATTTTTTTAAAATTTAACCTTTTAAGATTTTACTGTTTTTTAAATTAATTATTTTTTAAAACTAAAATAGTCATTTTTAATAAAAAAAATATCTATAAAATAAATAAAAAATTTATTATAATTTTTTTAATATTTATTTTTTTAGTTATAATAATAACAGTTTTGTTATTTTTTGGTTTTGTAAAAAAAGACACACATTAGCATAACATATATGTTTTCATTAGATATAGATAATCAAAATAAGAGATTAAAATTAAAAAACAATTATAGAAACTCAAATTACTTATTTTTATACAATATTTTAAAATTTATGACAGAAAACTAAACTAGGAATTTTATAAAATATAAAAGTCCAATCGCAATATAAAGGGTCAACTTTGGCAATTTAATTTAATTGGTCAATAATTCTATTTTGAAAAGATCGCGGCTTCCAAACAAAGCAAAACAAATAAAAGAAAAGAAAGAAAAGAAAAGAACATAATTATATAAAAAAGAAACTTAAAAATTATTACCATTTGTGATTTATTCATTGTAAGTTTCCCACATAGTTCTCTCTCTTGTCGACGAGATTACTGTGGTGGTCGTGCTCGCTGTCTATTCCATTCCTGGTTATCTGGAACGCAAAACAGCCGCAATTGCAGCCAACTTTGTATTCTGATATTTATCTTAAGGTAACGAACCTCGATCCCCTGATCTAATCATGGAATGAGATCTCTCTTCCTCATGATTCTTGTTGTTTTGGACCATTTTTTTTATTTTTTAATTAATTTTGTTAAGAAGTTTGATGCTTTGGTTGATGAGTCTGTTCTCTCGTTATTGTTGTTAGATTTGATATCACATGGTTCTTGGGTTGAAATAAATGGGTTGCTTGGGGGTGTTTGTTACGATGCCTTTTGTTCAGACTATTTTATGCGAGGCTCTTGGCCTTCTGTGGTGTATTTTCGCATCCTTAATTTCTACTATAAATGTTTTAGGTTTCAAAGCCATTTCTAAATTGTCTTTTTTTTTTTCTTGATTCCTTTGTGTATCTTTTTCTCTTGTGCTCCTTTTGGACTTTTTATTACTAAAGACAAGTTTCTTTCATGCAGTGTAATCTTTTACATTTTAGAAGAATTAGTATGCATTTATTACTATAAATTGTTTATTTTTGGATCCATTATCAGTGCACTGTTTGAGGATGTATGTAAAGAAAAATGTTAATAGGGAATGCAGATGATGGCACTGCATGCAAATAGTCAATGCTTTTTGCGTTTCTTGAGCATGTTAACAGAAATTTCAAATATTTTTAGTGATGATTCTTTTTAGCTATTTGTCTTGATTCTGATTGAACCAGAAAGGAAAATTTGTTTGTGCAGCCGAGGAAGAGATGAATTGGATTCAGCGCAAGATCTACCTTTACAATGTGACTTTCGGTCTCTACATGTTGGATTGGTGGGAGCGTTGTACTTTCAGTATCCTTTATTACACAATCTTTTAAATGGATTTCAACTCTTTCATGTGTCTTTGCTTGTTGTTCTCTTGAAATGCAAAAATTTTGAGCATTTTTAGATATCTATATGGGGGTTTCTTTGAAGTATGCAACTAGGATTCATCAATTGTTGGAAACTTGTGTTCCACGTACTTCTAATGTAGTGAAAGCAATAGTGGTTTACATGTGCTTTGGTTAGAAAGACAACTGAAACTATATTAGAATTATGACCAAGAGATAAAGGGACTCCTTGAATTCATATGCTGTTATCTCTGCTGTGGCACTTCTTGTTGGATTTCCTAAGCTTTTTGCAGATATTTTGGTGATTGTATTAATGTGTTTTGTCGTTCGATATGTTACTCAGTTCTTCAAGAGGTAGTGAGTCTCTTCCCTTCTCATCAATCATCTTAATTAGTACATAAATTGCATCTGTCCATTTCTTAACATGCAGGTAGTTTAGTGGAATATGATGATATATATAACAATTTTCTTAAAAAGCAAAAACGCTTATAACCCATATCTTCTTGCTTCGCTAATTTCCTTCATTTTGTCACTATCAACCATACTATAGGCTTTATGTTAAATTTTGCACAAAGCGTAGATGTATGTATAACACCTTTACAAATTTCTACAATGATCAGATGATAATCATTGTTCAAAAACTCAGAGTTGGTACCTTTCCTCCAATTTCCTTCACTGTGATAGATGTAAATTAGAGATCCAAGCCAAGGCACAATAAGCAAATCCCTTTCATGTGAAGATTATATGTTTATATTTATTATAATCCAATTGATGTAATTCCTTTCTAGTGGTATGCAGCAATGTACCCTTCAAAAGACCCCTTTATATCTTATCATCCAATCTATTCCTATTTCCAATTCTGAATATGCAAGTAAATGTCGAATTATATATTCTTTCTGTACAATACTTCCACTCACGTCTACTAATTTATAATATAATGCTGAAGATCTTCCACTAATCTATTGCTCAAGGAAAGCTACATGTAGTGCAATTTTAGCCATTAGGAACTTTTGGTAGTTTCTTCAATGGCAGGGTTTTTAGACCAGCATGAAAATCCAACCTTATTCTTTATAGCTTCTCAATTGCTATGGAATATCTGTGCATGTTGTAATTGATATTACTGTGTCAAATTGGTCTTTTCTCCTCATCTAAACTTTTATATTTTTTAATCTCAGGTATGTGTGGTAAGAAACAAAATCCATTCTCACGTGAGGAAGCAAATGTAGATTGTTACTTGGAAGTTTAAATTAGTTGCAGCCGGTGTATTTGGTATGGCTGACTAGGGAATATCTTGATATAGCCTGACTTAGAATTTCTTAAAGCTACTTTTCATGCCAACTATACACCGTCATGAATCTTATTTGAACATTTCTTTACTTATTTTCTTGTATGGATTCCGTTTGATATTCTTTACGTTGTAATAATTATATTATTATTGGGAATGTTAGTTTAGACTTTTAAATGTGGAAAGTTTGAACTGCTCCGTAATACCATCAAAATGAAGAGTGTTAGTGTAATTAAAAATAACATTTTTGACATTTCAAAACATTGAATAAAGCTGCTTAAAATTTTGGCCTTTTTTCAGACTTGAAAAGCACAGTGAGAGGAAAATGGAAGGGAATTGGATTTAGTTTTTTGTTTTACGTTGTTCTCTGCTCCCAGCATTTACAGCATTCTGCTCACGAGCATAACTGAACACGATTCAAGTTGGTCTATTAACTTAACTATGTTTAAGGTTGATTTTGACAGATTTAAGATTTATGCATTTTCTAAGACTGGTTTAATTTATATTCTGATGCTAATGGTCTTCATTTATTGTTACTTTTACTTAAAAGTTATTCATTTGAAATCATGTCATACTTTTAGTCAATAAGAATGTCGGAATTTTTAACTTGTATATTTCAAGGATGCCCAAATTGTACCTGAAATTTAACTCGCGCTGTTAAAAATAATGCATATTTTATCATTATTAAGTGATTGGCTCTGCGGTTTCTCGTACAAACATTCAAATGATGCTTAAAAGTTTCTAACCATCATGCATGCTTGTTCATATGGAAGAGAAGCAATTAAAGCCAATTTCAATGTTTAAACCCTCTTTATAACTCATCAACAGCACTTAAAATTAGGAAGAATGATTGCCCAAATTCTGGTAGTTTTAAAGTTGATGCATGTCACTATAATAATAATAACAATATGAAAGGCAACCAATCAATTGTGAATATGTAAGTCCTTCAATTTTTTGTTTGGAGTTTAGGGAGCAATCCTCTTTAGTAGAATTAATGCACGATGTTCATCTTTCAAAATCGTTTTGACTCAACTCATTCTTTAATACAGAATATATTTTAATAAAGTCTGTCGTAAAGTATAAGAAAATCATATAGTTAATAACATAAAATCTAAGTCATTTTAATTCCTTTACAAGTTAAATAGTAAATACGCTTCGTTTATATCCCCATGGATTACCGATCACAAAAGATACATAATAATTTGTAGCAAAAAATAAATCAAATAAAGCACACAAAAATAAAACTTTAATAACTTTTTTATCCATAGTAATTGAATATGGAATTTACAATAACTCATCCTTCGCTCAACTAGCTAAACCAGACCCTTCCAAAAAACATTGTTTACGTAAACAGAAGTTAAATTCGTAACACACCTCTGTTAAAACCAAGGACAACATATTTAGTACCAATCCCCGTTTGCAAAACATTTACTCATAACTGTATAGAGTATCATTGAAAAATTAACTTGGAAAAACAATTAAGAACCGATATTTTGAAGAAAAAGACAGAAAAATGAAAAAAAAATTAATTGTTTTAGAAATAATAATTACATACATTTGATCACACACACATACACCCACAAACGCGCACACACATACACACACACCATCGAATGCTTTACAGAGGATTTAGGTAGTGTGATGTCCAACCAACCGAGAATGAATTTTGGGAAATAAAGCATTCACTCCACAAGATAATCTCAAAACTATTGACATTTTATTAAAGAAACATGCAAATTATAAGAAACAAGTACCCATGTTTGGAAAAGCTAAAGACTAGGATGTAAATCTTTACAACTAGGGGTTATATAATCAGCAATCAGCAAGGAGGGTGGTTATGTGGGACATAAAAATCACCACAAAAAAGAATGAGAAAAAAAAGGTACCCACTACTACACTCCATTCTCAGCATAAATAAATACTAAGGACATTCACACCTGGGTCAATGTTGTTGTGCCAGAAGACTCTATCTTGTAAACCTCTAAGTTTGCAGTAGCCACAGAAGACAGGTTATAAATCTCAGGAGATCGAAACTCATCACAGTCTGTGGAGCCATTTTTGGTGAAAAATGCAATAAGAGTATTCATCATCCCACTCACAGCTGACTCGAATTCCTTTTGGCCGTTAGCCGGAGTTGTAGAACTACTAATACTTGGAACTAGATTATGTACAACCGACCCGACAGGAGCCCCCTCCACGTATGATTTACATGCTGTCAGTATGAAATATGCTCGGGTTCGGAAATGCCCTGCAACAAACTCCTCGAAGGGCTGCACCACAAGGAATGTATACATGAGATCAATTATGATTTAGACAGTTTTCAGTCTCCACACACGTCACATTCAGATGTTTGACTGGGTTCAGGAAAATAACAGAGTAACCTACAAATGACCTATGTCAACAAAAACAATGAAACAGGTTGGAAAATGACAATTCAGAAACAATCTGCATTTCCCGTTTATCAAGTGCTCCACAAGTCTGACAATAATTTGTAAAACGAATTACACATTAGCTCTTTCTTTTTACTTGATAATACTTGAAATGGATTTTGGTCAGTGGCAAAAAGATTCTTGATTGGCAGCCGTACTACATATATCACTTGAAGTATTTGGAGCTTCTGCATTTGGCATAAATGCTTTCTCATTTTTTTATTGAAGTATGTTCATAAGAAATCTTTGGAGACTACACAACAGCAAACACCCATTACTTTTCCTGCCTCGGTGGTATCCTCCACATTTTTTCCCTGCCCAGTTGTTTCAATTTTATGTTTTCTCCATGACACCCCAAAACCTAGTTTAGTGCCTTCCTTGCTATCCTAAACAATCTCCCCTATCCAATTTTCTGGTACCACTCTTGTACAAACTATTGAAAACATTAAGCAAAAATGGAAACTACGTAACATTTTTTAATAAATAATGAAAATATAAAATTAAAACAGAAAATATTTCCTCAAAATAAACAGCCCGTAAGATATCAAACTGAAACAAACGCATACCCAAAGAATGCAGTTTACGTACCTTTGGAGGTTTACGCAGGGTATACATCATTGTCTTCAAGGAAAAAATAAATGTCTTCTCATTGTACTCCTTAGATCTTCTCTGCCCCTCCACTCCAGGATATGTTGATATATATCCAGGTTCATTAAAGAAAGGCTTCTCATTTAGAATTAGAGCTTGTATTGAAACCAATACTTGTAGCATGGTTGATTTTTCTGGAATCCAGTTTTCACTATTCTTACCATGCCAAGTTCCCAGAAGACTAAGGCACACTTTTCCACATTCATATAGATTTGGATTTAGTCTTAGGCCACCTGAGTGGTAGTGAACTTTCTGCAGAAGATAATTTGAGTTTTACATTATACAAAGCACAAGACACCCAAAAACATTTAAACATTGATGATACATACCGGTGGAAATGCAGGATAGTTAGCAGGAAAGAGGCAATCAAAAAAGAAAAGACCATCATGATATGGTGTGCCTTGAGGTCCAATGATGACAACCCTTAGAAGCTCCATCTTTGATTCACTAACTCTAACAAAGATTGTGTCTGAAAATGAAAGCAAATTACCATACAGAATAATTTCAATTTCACCACAATGGTAAAAGGATTGATTGTAAGAAAAGAAGTTAAACGATTATTTACCTTTCTTCAAAAATAGATTTAAAGGATGGCAATTGTTATTAGAAAAACTGGATTGAAAAAATACAATAGGAAGACACCTCAAATAATAAATCTCTAGAGAAAACAGGAGCAAATATCATCTTGCATATTAAGGATAAAGAATATCTTTGCTGATAAGAGAAAGAGATTTTACCAGGCAGATTTTCCTCTAAAATTTTCCATTCCTCCAGGATCTTTTTGGCCCAATTTTTAGGTTTCTGTATCATTTTAGAAAAGCAATTTCTATTCCATCAGTTGATTAAAAGTATGGGAAATAGTGGATAGACAACTAGAGAAATAAAAAGAGAAGTGTATGATTGATAGATGATATTATGTGATAGGAAGAGAGACATAGAGAGAAATAATTACTGTGAATGTGTTTGGAGTTATGAGAAGCTCATGTATCATTAAATCAAAACTCTAAAATTATGTCCTGCATATGCAGCCTACACCCAAATATATTTCACAATATTTATCACCTGTGACTCTGAAGTTCGCTCCTTATCATAGTGATGTTCAGGAAAAGAATCAACAGTATCAAATTGCTTGAATTGTTGAAACTTCTCCATGACCGTATCATCAATTTCATCCACTTTTCCCTTTGAACTAGATTCTGCACGGGGAAAGGCGACAACCTGCTTGCAATCACTAGAAGAAATGTCCTTCAACCAAGGCAGTGATGCCTCCACCCCAGGAGGTAAATCCACATTGTCAAAATGATCCTGCATACTTGAATAATTGTCTTCATAAATATCGTCATTGTAACTAAAAGCATAATCAGCATCTTCATCTGCATCATCATCATCAATCATATCTGCATCATCATCAATCATATCCTCATCTTCTTGACATGAAATGTCAGAATTGGAACCATTTTGATTGTTTGAATTCAGTGATCCTGAGGTAGAACTCTTGCAGAGATCACCACTCCCAGATGACTCTCCTACACTCATAGAATTTCCATGATTACTGATCAAAGCATCATCCTGCAAATGAGTAAAACAATACTTAAAATTCACATAGAGCAAAAGGTCATTCTAAGCACGTGCGCTCATCATCAAGAAAAAGAGTCAGGATAACTTAATAGTCTTACACTGCCACATATTTCAACCTGTTCATTATACTCTCCCCCCACCCACTCACGCACCTATTTTCACTCAATAAATGTTTTCTCTTTCAACCTCATCCACGTCAAAACTAACCCATTATAATATAATATGCAAGATAACACAGGATTTGACTTGCACATCAATGCAAAATTAGTAAGTCCAGCAGTAAGCCTCCATGTCATAAGGTTTCTTACTCTATTGGAAAATTTAAGAACTCTTTATTACTAAACTGTAGGCATGCGTAAGATTAACCTACAGGTATTGATAGGCTATGAACTCAAATCTTATTATAGGGACTCAGAAATTATGAGGTGCTTAAGTCTTACATTGAGTAGTATGGGATGTTCTGTGAACTTAGCGGATTGGTTTTCCTCCCTTGACAACTAGTTTTAAGGGTGCTTATCAAAC